GGGTGAGGTGCTCATGGGTCATTATACCATAAACAGCCAAAGAGCTGAAGCAGCTTCATTTTCTTTACTTTAAAATAGTATTAAAAAAAACTAAAGGGGGAGTACAGGGAGTAGTGTCTCTTCCAGGTTAAAACTCATCCAAGTCAAGTCCTTGCCCAGAGTGAATTGTGCAGGGGCCAAATCTGAAAATTGGTTTCGTTGCAAAAAAATGCTGACAACTGTCCTTAGTGAGAGGACCTCAAATAACACTAATGTAATCAGTCAGCTCAGCCACGAGGGACTGAGCAGTCCCCGGGTGAAAGACACTGTGGGGGAGACAGGGACAAGGGGAGGGTCAAATACATTGGAGACACTTTTTAGTGCCTTGCCCTGGACTACTTCATGCGGGAACTGGCCCCCGGATATTGAAGCACAGCAAGAGGACTGCAGCCTCAGCCAACAGCATCAGCACCCACCACCTTACCCAGCATCAGCAGGAAGAGCCAGAACCAGGACCAGGACTCCAAGGCTAATGAGAGAGAGCACCCCTGTTCCCGGGAGCCTCAGCGCCATGGTGTCAACACGTGGCCACCAGCAAACAAGCCTCCAACACCTGCAGAGGGGAAGGAGAGAAGAGAAAAGAGATTTTATTTACTAGGAGGAAAGCAAGCCGCTTAGTTCAGTTTTTGCCAGCAGTTCACCCATGTTAGCCAGCAATAGGTATTTCTGGGGTCCAATATTTGAAGTCCCAGAGACCCCCCCCTCCAGGGGACCAAAGGTAGAAGCATCCCCTGCAGCACTGCTGGTCCTGGGGAAATCGCATCACAGGGTCAGAGCCAAGTGTGTAAATGCACATACAAACCCTCCCCCCACGTTCACAGCACACCCAGCAGCTCCCTGGGTACTTCAGCACCTTTCAGCAAGTGCATAGCTCTGTTTCCAAAATGACCACACTGGTTCTTCTTCCACCCATCACTTCCTCCTCCTCCTCACCCCGCACTCTCAGTCACCTCCCTCCCCCTGCAGCAGCTCCCCTGTGCTGCCTTGGGGACACCCACACAGCAGAACCACTTGCAAAGCCTCCAGACCCATGTTTTCCAAACATCTTTTTCTGGACAGTTAGGCCCTCATTTAATTCTGGTAATGACACTGCCAGAAATTATTATTAAGTTCGAGCACTCAGGCCCAAGGTAGTGGGAGTGTTCGACTGTACCGCACTTAGTGTGCTCAGATTTTTCATTAATGCTCAGTTTTACTTTTATTGTGATGTTATTGCACATTTAACTGCCTTCCCCTTTTATGTATCTCATTATGTTGATGCACCTTGGAACAGCACTGCCAGGCAACAGCCTGTATAAATACAGCTTGTCGTGACGTCTCCCCAGCACGACACCTCGTGTCTGGCACACGCAGGACTTGGGCCAGCAGAGGCTCAGCACCGTGGCAGCCCAGGCACAACCAGCCACTGCGAGCCCCCAAAGCCATCAGTGAAGGCTCACTTCAACCACAGACTGCAGACACCAGGACAAGAGGTGCAGCGGAGGGCCACGAAGATGATCAGAGGGATGGAGCACCTCTCCTATGAAGACAGGCTGAGGGAGCTGGGATTGTTCAGCCTGGAGAAGAGGAGGCTCCGGGGAGACCTTATAGCGGCCTTTCAATACCTGAAGGGAGCCTATAGAAGAGCTGGGGAGGGACTCTTTGCCAGGAAGGGTAATGATAGGACAAGGGGAAACGGTTTTAAATTGGAAGAAAAAAGATTCAGATTAGATATCAGGAAGAAATTTTTTACTATGAGGGTGGTGAGACACTGGAACAGGTTGCCCAGGGAAGTTGTGGATGCCCCATCCTTGGAGGGGTTCAAGGCCAGGCTGGATGGGGCTTTGAGCAACCTGCTCTAGTGGGAGGTGTCCCTGCCCATGGCAGGGGGGTTGGAACTAGATGATCTTTGAGGTCCCTTCCAACCCAAACCATTCTATGATTCTATGATTCTAAGATGTTGCTGCCAGCCAGATCTGACCTCTGGATTTCCCCACTCGATAGGGGCCAACGTTGTAGAGCCTCAGGCAGCTCCTTCCAGCACTCGAGGAGATGCTGGGTTGAAAGCCAAGCCCCACCACCTTCAACAGCATTTCTCAGTTAGCAGAGGGTGCCCCAGGATGAAGGGGGCAGGTGAGCTATGCAAGTGCTACCAAGGAGCAGGGGTTTCTGCACAGGGACGTGGGAGATGGGAACCCCCAGCAGAAATCCCACGCAGAGAGCGGGGAGCTCAGCCAAGCAGGATGGAAACAACTGGAGATCGTGGGTGGTGTGTTACACTACAATTCTGCATTTAGCTACCCCTGGTCACCCTACAACACCTTGGCCCTACAGTCTTCCTAGATGCTGTGCCTGATCCATGTTTCTGAGCTCAGTACAGCTCCAGGAGGATATGAGCTGCCACGCAGGCAGAAGGTAAGAGCCAGACACTACAAGTCCTTATCCACCCACCTGAGCTTTTGTTCTGGCGAGATGTTCACTGATGGCAGGCAGAGGGGGAAAAATAAACAGATTTGGGTCCTAGCATTGCCTTGCATAGAGCACACTTCAAATACGTGTTACCTTTATCTTCCTCCCCATCACTCACTTCAAATCCTTGCAAATATCAGTGCGTGGATTGTTTCTGTGCACGTGAGCGTTTGCCGGTGTGCTCGGGTGGTATTTAATCAGGATGCTCCGTAGGGAAGCACAGCCTTCACACCAACACGCTTAACGGAGGCTGCAGGAGCCTTCTGGCACGGGCACACCGACACCTCTGGTGAGACAAGCCCTTATTTGGGATGGGCTCCTGCTCGGGAGGGACACGCAGGCTTGGAAATTCAAGCATTTGCTGATGAAGCACAAATTAAGAGGCTGAACATCTGTTCTGTGGGAAATTCCAACAGTTAGGGGAGACTCGTTCCAAATCACAACAAGGACAGCTAAAAATGTTGATGTTTCTTACAAGGCAAATTCAAAACTCCTTTAATTAGCAGCTCCTCAACAGATTTTCTTTCAACTTTCTTCCTTTTATTTCACTTAAACTTGCATATTGTACAATAGGATCTAACGGAAATATTTTTTTCTAAGGCAATTTCAAACATTAGCCAAAAGCAAACAAAACAACAAACAAACCCCATTTCTGGCTTTCCTCTCCCCTCCTCACACCACCATTGACAAATTTCATTCAAATCAACACTTTCCCATTCAACTGCTGGTTTCAATAAATGGTTTGTTTTGGCAGAATTTGCACTGCTAGCATTTTTTGACCAGGGATATCCACACAAACTAGGACTCTTTGGTTTTGCAGTAAGTGCCTCCTGAGTCTGCAGGAACCGTTCTGTCTCCTCTAGAACATTTTGGACCATCTTTGTTAGATTTGGCGAGACCATGGGATGGAGAGATTAAACACCAAAGAGCAGCTAAAGAAAAGAAAATGAGGCAGCAAGGTAATTCAGAAAGAGATAGGGTCAGGAACAGTGACAAAAGCCAGAAGCCACTTATACCTTCCATATAGGTGTGTATAAGACATGCCTGTCTGTGTCAAGATGCTCAAAGCAACCACATTTCCATCAAACCTTGTTCATACAGTTTTCCTTCAATATTATATGGAGATGAAGGATTAATTTTCTACTTTGGATAGTCCTGTTGAGGAAGGTGCGAGCCAAGGATAACAGGGCTGCTCAAAAAAGTTAAATACGTGCTTAAGTTTCATTTTAAGCATCAGAACCAGTTCTATATGCCTCCATTGGGAGAAAAATCTGTTTTCTATACTTGCCCATGATTACTTTGCCAGTGATGGCCGAGTTTTCTAGCATGGAGAGTGCTCTCAAAATGGGGTGTGAGGGTACGTGGATGGCTGGTTTGTTATGTTTGCTCTTATGGACTTGGGAAGGACAACACACCACAGAAAATAGGTTGCCGCTCGCATCTACCTCTTTTCTTTGGTTCTTGTATCATGTTTTTCCTGGGGAGCTGGATAGAAGAGGCTGTGCTGCATTTACCTTGTTCTTTGGCTCCTTTACATTTAGAGGTGGATTGAGCAGACCTGGTTCTAAGGACTGTGGATGACATTCCTGATTAACATGGGAGCTTTAACTGTTGGTGATGAACCCTGGTAGCCTTGAAAACTCTGGTAGCCTTGAAACATTGAGCCAGGGCTGGCCAGGCAGTGCTGTGGGTGCAGCAAAAGGAACCCCACTGCAGTGCTATTGCCGGGCAGGAAACATATCTCTGGAGGATGCAAGGAGGCTTCTGCAGAGGAGGAGGTTTCACCCTTCATACAGTTTAAGAGATCTTCCAAAGTTCCTCAGAACCTAGGGTGGTCACCATGGCACAACAGCTTCTAGCATCACCTCTCCCCTTTCTTACCAGCTGCCAGCCACACAACTGCTCTAATAACGAGGTTTAATAACACCAGTCCTGGCTTTAACAGCCCAGTAACTGTGCTCCTCAGATTTTAGCACGGAGGAGTCACTCATGGAGAGGACCTGCCTGCCCCACAGCAGTTAATGCTGCCGACAGAGCAGGTGGGAAGGGGTCCCCCAGTGCACAGACACCATCTTGAGCAAAGGCAAAAGGAATGGGAACACCCACGAGTGTGCCTCGGGAAAATTAACACTGGGGCAACCCTCCAGCCTGAACCGGTGCTGCCTTTGCAGAAGATGCTTAACCAAAATGCTGTTATTCAGCTGTCACTTCCCACCCAGGAAAGCTCTGAAACAGTCAACGTCTTGATCTGAATACCTGCAGGGATACCCGGTCCTCTGGGAAGGGGAGGGAGGATGCAGGCAACACGCATTTAACTGCATGTAACCAAGTGAGGGTTTAGGAATGTTAATTGGATGGTAACAGTCTCAAAGAAGGAAAAAAACCCTCAAGATCTTGCTCTAGGTCTCACTGAAAGGAAAGTGCACAGTATCCATGAAGAAAAAAGCAGAATGCAAAGATTTCTAAGCTCAGAAAAGAGTGGTACAACTCCTTAGACTGACCATTCCTTCACATAAGTTAAAGAACATCACCCTACAGCTCCTGGTTCTTGTCTATGTCTATGCGAGATGGACCCCATAGGGACAGTGTGTCTTCAGAGCAGCTCTGTGCTTCCTCCCTCCATCTGTCCATTGCTCATTTCTTAATGGCACAGTTAACAAATGCATTCATCACTAATTCTGCAGTTGCTGGTAACCTCCACAGCTGAATCAAATGCAGATTTTCTAAGGAGCCCTGGTAACACTTTGCAGCTGGAATCCAGCAAGACTTGAAGTTTACAGTTCTGTGCACTCTGGATTTTGGCAGGTCTCTTTATAGCCACGTACCTCAAGGCATCATAAATATACCCACTCCTCTCCAACACACATAGTCTGCCCAACCTCCAGAGCATCACAGCATAACAACACTCCTGAGAAATACAGCCTTCCTGTTGGATGTGCAGTTTTGGAACGAGGAATTGGAAAAGCTTCCTTCTCCCCAAGACAGCAACGTGCTCCAGCCCCTGCTCCTACTGAGGTGGGTTTGGGAAACCAAAAAAAGTGCTGCTGTCTTCCAGATCAGCAAGGTACCCTAGTAACTACCTTAACATTGGGTGTCTCTTGGCTT